GAATTGCAGTGAAGACTGAGACCAAGTGCAACTTGCGTTTGCTCAGCCACTTAGAAATTAACAAGTCCAATCTACAGGACAACACATTGCACTGGGTTCTAGAATATTCATTCATTAATCAAATGAATGTCCTAGATCCTAATGAGTATCCTAGTTCCAAGAACTGTTCTAGCCCTCAAAGAACTATTTTGGGTGAAGAACTAAACAATTAAAAATTGTTTAGTGACCTAGTGGTTAAGGGAGTCAGAGCCCATGTACCTGACTACAGTTTGAATCCCAGTCCTGGAGACTTGAAAAACATGCTGAGTGCATGAACATTTCCCCAAACTCCAACAGGATGAAAAGATGAAAGAGAAGGGATTGTGGCATAACCACACCCTCTCCCTCTCTCTTTCTCTCTGTCTGGAAAGAGCATGCACCCACTGGCAAAAATTTTTTAAATTTCGTTCACAACAGCATGAATGTATTTATGTCACTGAACTGTACACTATGGTTACTATAGTAAAATTTATGTGTGTGTCTTTTATCAAAAGTTTTTTTTAACAAAAAAAAGGAATAAAGAATATACAAAATAATCACTATAGTAAAATTTATGTGTGTGCCTTTTCTCAAAAGATTTTTTTTAACAAAAAAAAAGGAATAAAGAATATACAAAATAATAATCCTGAGGAATCTTTACCCCCCCCCCACTGGGCTGAATTAACTCTCCAGCAGTTTCCCTCCTTTGTCCTGTTCTGTATGCTGGTCCCCACCTCATTGATGTGCTCAGAGTCAACTTCTTTGCCAAACTCTTTACAATACAGGGGGGTATCACAGAAGATGTTTTCTTGCCATTGCTTTAAGATTGTGTCTGTCGGGGCCAGCAGGTGGCGTAGTGGGTAAGGCGCTTGTCTCCCACATGACTGACGACAATGATTTGAGTCCTGGATCCAGTGACTTGAAACTTACACCGGTGCAAGTGCATATGTGCCCGAAATTCCAAGAGGAGAATGGAGGAGAAGGGACTGTGGCATGGGCATCCTCCCTGGCGGGGAGTGATTTCTCACTTTCTCTCTCTCTGTCCCTCTCTGTTTCTCCTATGAGCACATGTGCCCTATAGCAAAAATCTCTCTAAAAAGAAAAAAAAAATGCATTGCTATAACTTTGAGAATCTGAACTACTTTGACAGAGTCAAAGATCCGTGGATTGTGAGGTCAACCCCTCCTAATTGCCATCACACACACCCACATGCAACATTGACAGAACCGATGGCAAGGAAGGAGTTGCTTTCGGTGAGACACACTACGCGAAAGAGATTTTCCACCAGAAAATCTTTCATTTCTTCCAGACACATGTTATAGGCCTTGCCATGTACATGAATACTGAGAGGCCAGTGGTGGGCTGGTCATGAGCAGGCCATACCCAGTGGAGGACTTGTGCCTGGCTCATCTTTGTAATCTCAGCACCCAGATACTGACTGGCACATTGCAGGCACTAGAGAAATGTTAATCTTGACTGAATGAATGCATGAATGTAGGTCTTCTTCTTCCTCCTCCTCTTCTTCTCCTTCTTCTCCTTCTTCTTCCTCTTCTTCTTCTTCCTCCTCCTCCTCTCCTTCTCCTTCTTCTCCTTCTTCTTCCTCCTCCTCCTCTTCTCCTTCTTCTCCTTCTTCTTCCTCTTCTTCTTCTTCTTCCTCCTCCTCCTCCTCTCCTTCTTCTCCTTTTGAAATTTTGTCAAAGAGTATATACACTTGCCAGAGAGAGTCAGAAAGAGATGGAAAGTGAGAGACAGGGAGAGAGAAGGAAAGTGAGAAAGCACTCCTCGTGGGGGGTAGTCACACTTACTATCCCTTTTCCTCTCTTTCTCCTCCTTTTGGGATTTTGGGCATGCAAGTATATATATGTGCCTGGTGTATTTCTCAAGCGACTGAGTCTGGAATTTGAACTGCCTAGTCAGCCATATGGGATCCAGCTGCCCCAACCATTATACCAGCTAGCCCCCTTTTTTTCTTTTTTAATCTGCCAGTGGATGTGTGTGTTCAACAGAGAGAGGGGAAAGGAAAAAACAGTCTCCAATGGGGCATGGTCATGCCACAATTCCTTCTTCTCCTTTCTGCTAGGATTACGGGTATGCCTGGAGTGTTTTTCAAGCTGCTGGGGCTGGGATTAGAACTATATAGTCACCCATGTGGGGTCTGGCTCCCTTAACCACTAGGCCATAGGGCTCACCTGAATGATATTTTCTAGTTTAAGCATTTGCAGTTACTTGCTTCATTCTACCTATTCTCTAGCCCCAGAAAACTCAAAAATACAAGTTACACCTCAACCTAAAGAACAGAAAAGAAGAAAAACTACAGAAATGCAAAGTCACAAGCAGCCCATGGACCAAGTAAATCTTCTAGGTAAGAGATGACTCTGAACAAGGCTGCTCCATCTGTCTCCTGGGAGCCAGCCCTTTACCTGCAGGCGAATGAGCTTCCCTAGGAAGGAAAGTCTCCCCTACTACCCACAAGCCTTTCATTCCCATCTTTTCAGTACATCCTGTGGGTAAGAACTATTGCCTCGTGTATGCAGGCTGTGAGCTCAGCATCTCAAATCATTCTCATGGTCAACCTGGCTTCCCGGCTTCCTCCTTGGTTTGGGAGTGGCTGAATAGAATTCAGCTTAATTCAGTCCAAGTCAATTCAGAATATACCAGTCACTGTCAATAGAAGATACAAACACGAGTAGGACAACCATCCCTGCCCTCAAGGAAATGCTCGGTGTACAAGTGCTCTAAGTATGAGACAATGAACTGCCAGCAAAGAATTTACTCCAAGATTTTGTTTTTGTTTTTGTTTTTTTACATGTGTTCACCAAAGAGAGACAGAGAGAGAGAGAGCAGGTGAGAAATCACCCCAAGGGGGATGGCCATGCCACAATATCCTTTCCTGCTTTGATTTTTTTTTTGGGGGGGGGCACGCACACACATGTGCCCAGTGTGCTTTCCAAGTCACTGAGTCTGATACGTGAGCAGCATTGACAGCCATGAGGGATCCAGCCACTGTAATCACCACGCCACCAGGTGGTCCAATATCAAGGTATTTTTACAGGACTGCATCATAAAGCATGCCATGCCATATTGGTACTTCTTTTTATGTTTTTCTTTTATTTTCTATAGGGCATATATGTTTGCTAGACAGAAAGAGAGAGAGTAAGAAAGTACCCTCCGGGGGACTAATCGAGCAATTCCTTCTCCTCCATTCCTCTCTTGAGATTCTGGGCACACATGCACACACATGTGACATGTTTTTCAAGTCACTGGGTTAGAACTGGAACCACGCTGTCAGCCATGTGGGATCCATCTGCCCAACCACCATTACCACCTAGCTGGCCGGTACTGGTAATTCTTAAGAGCTTCTAGCAAACACTCTCTAGCTAACGGGCTGTGAGTAAGTGAGCATGGGGACTACCCTTTACCTGCACATAGCTTTCCTGCCTGAACAGTACTTAAGTCATAATGTCAAGAAGAAATAAAGCCCACGAGCTTTTCTGATGATCAGTTGACCTTATGAGACTACACAGTCCTTTGCTAATTTTATAACCTCGCAAACAACTTTATCATATCAATATATTCTCAAGGGAGCCTCACAAACCAATGAATCAGGGAGTATTACTTCAATTTGCTGAAGAAATTGAGACACAAAGAAGTTAAAAATATAAGGCTAATTGGCATAATCAAAATGAACTAAGACCTAAGGTTTCCTGGATTAGATAGGGGATCTTACTGATTACTTATTTTAAATGAATTTGAATTTATTTGCAGCTTCCATTATTTAACAAAAGGTCAATCCAGAACTATCAGTACAATATGATGTTTTTACCCCTTCTCTCCTCCAACTTTGTCCTGAAATGGTATTTCCCAACACATTTAATTGTTTATTTTGTTCTACTTTCCCTATATTACTCTCCACAATTATTGAAAGATTTCAAAGAGACTGATGTTTGTTGTCCTTAACAGATAACTAGCTGGTTCTGACCAAGGGTTGTTTCACAAGTAGTCTTACTCCATGTTTTCATTTGAAAGATGCAAACCCCATTCCGACAGGTCCAGACAGTTATGAGCCATTGAGGAACATTTTATTCTGAGGCTACAATTAAAGTTCAGTCTGATTTGCAAGGTGCTATATGACAACAGAGCAGGGCAACTCAGCTTTCTGTTGGGGCAGAGGCATATGCAGGGTATTTGTAGAGGTTCTATTGGACACTTGGGGTTGTGAAGGTCAGAGCATGTAAGGGGACTTCAAAGAGTTCATAGAAAATGGAATTGAAGTGCAAGTTTAGGTTGATACAAAAAATTTTGAAATCTATGTATAACTTTTTTCATAATATTTTTTAAAAAAAAATTAATATTTTTCATAAATTTTCCATTTGTTTTTCCGAAGCCTCCTTCTATGTGCAGCTTCACTGTCTGGGATTAGAGAAACATACAGATACATATGTCGAAAGTTGGGGTTGTGGGAAGGGAATTCTAAGATTATACTGAACAAGACATGATCTCCAAGGTCAGAGTCAGTCAGACCCAGGTTGCAGTTGGGTTTGGGGAGAATAATTGGGCATGGGGAAATTTAAGAGGCCTTGACAGGGCTCATGTGGGTCAAGCTTCAGGTATGCTTGATCAGAGGTCAGGCTCCATTTGTCTGAGGTTCTCTCAGCTCTTCCCTCCACCAACTGCCATGGGAGAATGTATTGCCTCACTTACCCTGTGGAAATCCATGGTGGTCTCTGTGCTTCATTGGCCCGAAATGGCTTGAACCTGCCCTTAGCTCTCAGATGATGCTGCCCTTCCCCCTCCTGTCTACTTACCAAAACCCTCACTGACTTTCAAGAACTGTCTCAGGTGCTTCCTCTTCTGGGGCAGCAGTGGTCAGAATGAATTACTCATTTTCCGTGTTCCCACGGCAGGACTCCGCTCCCCAATTGCTGCATGTACCGTTTTGCCTTCATGTGTCTTCCTTACCCAGTTGACCGCTGCCTCTTACAGAAGTGACTGGGTCTTTGGGTCTTCTTACAGTGTCCCACAAAGTTCCTGACACATAGAGGTTCTCAATACACATGAAGGGACTTCATAAAGTTCATGGAAAAATGAAATTAAAGTGCAAGATTATTTTGGTCCAAAAAATTCTGTTATCATACGTATTTTTTTCCCAGTATGTGTTTTGTTTTGTATGAATATTTTAAAGACCTCTCGTATTGACTGAACGAAAGAATGAAGGAACAAGCAAAAAAATAAGAGCCAAGGTCCAGTCTGTAGCAAGAGGCAGCACGGGTCCACTCATGATGCCTTTTCTGACTCACATTGGAATTTTCTTCTCCTCTTCAAGGTCACTGCAAGGACCATCCACCATGGGAACATGAAGGTGCAAAGAGAATTTATCACTTCGTGGTGGGGCAGACAGTTCACTACCAGTGCATACAGGGATACAGGCCCCTACGGAGAGTTCTTGCCAAGAGCGTCTGTGAAATGACTTGTGGGAAGACAAGGTGGACCCAGCCCCGGCTCAAATGCATAAATGCATCTGAGCACAGTCCATTTCCAGGTAAGGCTCCCTTTGGGGGCCCACTATATTCCTCTTCTCCATCAGTGCCAGAGTGGGATTCCTGACCTCACTTTCTCTATCTGGATCTCCATTTGTTTCATTCTAATAAAATAGACCAGGCAACCCCTAAGATGCTCTTCACTTATGGTCCTCCTGTACCGAGTACAGATACATAAAGAAGGAAGAGATATCTTTGGGTGTTCCTAAGCACCCCAGACGCTGCTTCTAAGTGACAAAGTTGTCCTTTTTTTGAGTGATCCTGAGATTTCACTTCTCCCTCTAAGCTACTGAGACTCCTAGTTCAAAAGGAAAAGTCCAGCCTCCCACCTCTGCGTCTTTCCTTGTAGTAGTGCATAATGTAAATCTGCTATTTGTACACTGCGGCAGTGTTAGCACGCTCCTTCCCCTTGTGTGATTCCCTGCCCGTGCTTTGATAAAAACATGAATGTACAGGGAAGGGATATGTTCAGACACATGCACACACTCACGTACACATAGAACCTACCTTTTAGTCTTTCTACAAGGAAACGTTCCTTCCATGCAGCCATCAGTGTCCCTGGTTCCTTTCTTACCAGCATTTCTCCTACCCTGTGCCTTTGTCCTGGGTCTGCTGAGGAGGCTATTTCCCTCCATGTGCCTCCAGGGAGCTTCCTTTGTAAGAGGCTACAAAGACAGGACAGGGCCCTGGCCACTGACCCCACTAGGAGGAATGGAGACTCAGCACAGAGAAATAGCCAACGCTTTGTGCATTGCTACTTCATTCAATGGCTCAACAGTATCTGTATTTTTATGACCCATTTCCAAATTGTGGATGGAAGTCTAGGTTGTGTGGGATGCTTGGGGAGAAAGAATTGATCAGAGTTTGATGGACAACCAGAACCAGGGTCAAAATTCCTTATCACCTGCTCTGCCAAGGCCACTTAACCACTTTCCAGTGACTCTGATGTGGAAATGTGTGATGTGGCACCCCCAAGCCCCAACCAGATATGCCCCACCAGGACTCATGCCTCAGTAGGTGTATCTGGGGCTAGCTGTAGGGCACAGGTGGGAGTAGAAGACCCTGTGTCCCCATCTTTGACCCCATAGCATGACTTACTCTTTCATCCAGATGTAGAAGAGTCTCAAGAAAACCTGGATGCTCCTGCAGAGAGTGAGACTTCCTGCCCCTTCACAACAACAGGTATGAAAGCATTTCTATGAAGACAAGTGTTTGGCCATTAAATTCTAATCAGGAGCCTGACTGTAACACAGTGCTCTGTGAGACTGAACCCACATGGGAAGGTTCTGATTTGTTTCCAGAGACCTCTCTGAACACACGGGGTCCTGGTGTGCTCATGATCCCGGGCTGGCTGAGGCTGGGGGTGGATCACAGTGTGAACTGCCAACGCTGTTGGATTGCTCATTAAATAAATAAAGAAAGAAACTTTAAAAGGAAAAGAAGAAGAAAGAAAAAATCATAGTCAGGGAAGGGCAGTCTACCTGAAGCAAACCTCTCCTGAAGAGGGGCAGAGAAGAGAAGCCAACCCCCACACCTCCCCTCCCTGTCAAGCAGGGACCCAGGTTCAATGACCTGCACACCCCAGTGCAAGGCAGGGTAAGGGAACATAGGACAGAGAGGAGCTCTCAGGAGAGCTAGCAACCACAGCCCCTCCCCAGTCCCTCCCACTCCTCTCTCCAGCCTGAGTTTCCAACCCATGGAGAAGTCACATTCTCCAGCCTGGTGCACTGGCTCCTATGATTAGCACATAAATTGAGTGACCCTCTTGCTCTTTTTCACAGATCTTCCAAAATCTACAGAAGTTGTTACAACCATGGAGCCATTCGTGTTTACAACAGAGTATCAGGTAGCAGGTGAGTGGGTCACTTTCTCTGTGGACAAAATGTATAGCTGACTGAAGTGTGCACAGGTTGGTTGGTTTAAATTACCCCCTCCTTACAATACATACTGGTTACAAGACTGAAAGATCATTCCAGATACAAACATAACTCAAAACTCCATCAGTCAGTTACAGTCTTGTGAGTGAAGTCTTAGACAGCCACAGCTGGGTCAATCTCCCAGGGCCTGCAAGGGGCGACATTGCTCCAGTGTCCCTTTCATGTAAGGGTTCACATTTGCAGAGAGCAGGTTTGCAGGTCTCAGTTGAGTGGCAGAAGGCATTTTATTCTGATGCTTGGTGGTGGTGGGGGGGAACTGGCCTCAGAAAGTGCAGACGTGTCCTGTGGTAGGAGGAGTGGGCTTTACGACAGCCCCTTTCAGGAGGTGTTAGTGTTCATCATCGATTGTTATGTACCAACATGTCTTTATCAGACACGGCCACTTCTCTGGAGTATTTGCCCATCAGTTTACCCCTAGAGAGCCCTCATGCCTTTCTCCTGTTCAGAGGTGATCCCACTCATCCTGGCTCCAATGGGGGAGGAACCTGTGTTCTGAAAAGGGGACCACCTTGCTCCCTGTGGCTTAGTCCAGCCTGCGCCAAGGACCCAGCTCCTGCCCTCACCCCTAACCCCACGTCCTTTAGCCGAATGCCTCTAGGCTGACAGTGGCCCTTTCTGTTGACAGTGGCTGGCTGCGTCCTCCTGCTGATCTGCGTCCTCCTTCTCAGTGGGCTCACCTGGCAGCAAAGATGGTGAGTCCAACATCATCAAGGAACCCGAGCAGGTCCCAGTCCCTGCACCAATTCTACACCTTCTCTCTCGAACTGCTAACAGTTTGGGGGATGCAGGGAAATGCCAATCCAGGCCTCCCCACAGAGGGATCAAAAAGAATTAGAGCAGCAAGGAACAGGGAGAGCAAAGGAAATGAGGATGTGCTGAGTGCCTGCCATATGCCAGGCTCCAGGCTTATTATGGTTATTTATATGCTCAGAATCCTTTAGAATGGGTATAGCCTAAAACAGCTTAAATAAGACTGCATAGCAGACAGCCACGCTACTACCTGAATCTAGAGTCCAACATCTTTCTAGCCGTACCTTCCAAGAAGGAAACCAGGGCAGTGCTTACCTTGATCTTTTCCTACACTGTGCTCCCCACCGTGTCCTCTGAAGACCAGGAATGGAGTTCTTTAGTGGCCTTTCTTGTACTAAGTTCTCATCCTGGATGCATATGAAAATGACCGTGAGAGTTTTGTTTTGTTTTGGTTTGGTTTGGTTTTGGCTATAGGGTGTGTGCATTCAGAGAAACAGACAAAGATAGTGAGAGGGAAAGCAAGAAATCGCCCCCCACCTCTGGGGGTTGGCCATGTCGCAATCCCTTCCCCTCCATTCTACTCTTGGGATTTTGGGCACACACAAACAGGCACTCAGTATAATTTTCAAACTGTCAGCGCCAGGACTCAAACCAAGGTCAGCTATGTGGGAGTCCAGTGTCTTAACAACCATGCCAACTGCTGACCCTTTCAGAAATTTTTAGAAGTCCCCCAGATAACATCTAATATCATTCAGGTTTGACAGCCCTGCACCATCTCAAACATGAACATGCATCAGAATCTCCCCAGGAGCTTGTTAACACAGGTTGCTGGGCCCACTTCCAGAGTTTCTGAGTCAGTAGTCTTGACTAAGATCAGAGAATGTGCATGTCTAATACATTCCCAGGTGTTACTGATACTGCTGTTCCAGGGACCAAACTACTAGGCCAACAATATTAAGACTCATGGGAAAAAAAATTTTCACAAAAAATGTCTTGTTGAGAAGTTAATTTCTCTCTCCCTTTGGAGAAAAACACACAGAAACCCAAGATATCTTGCTCCTAACTTCCCCTGCCATCCCCAACACTGGCTAGCTCTGGTATAAACTCCTCAGTATGACCCTGAAAAGACAAATCCATTCCCTCAAACCAAAGCTCTTAGATCTTGTAGTTTGCCCAGCCAGAGAGAACATAAATCAAACTTCTTCCCTCTTTAGTTTGGTTATCAGGCCCACAAGTATGCTCCTAATTTTCTTCATGTGGATTAAAAGGTATATTGGCTGGCCTACAGTGCTACAGTTAAATCCTGTATGTAAAGTCAGATCCCACATGGATAACCATGGTTCGAGTTGCAACTCCCATGGCTTAAAAAACACACTTGGCACATGTACATGTGTGTCCCAAATCCTGACAAGATGGAGAAATGGAGGAAAAAGGATTGTGGCATAATTATGCCCCCATTGAGAGAGCTTTCTATCTTCCCCTCTCCATCTCTGCCCCTCTCAGGCATGCAAGCAATTTAAAAATAAAAGTACAAATTATTGCAATGCAAATGATAAGTTCGTCCTCAGAGTTATTATATTAGGCATCATTCATATTCCTGGCAGTCTCTCAATTTCTCTAAGGTGTTAGTTGACTTCTCATGTCATTTTAGCATCACATGAGATGAAGTAGGGACAGAACCTGACTTACTGTAGGTTGTCAATAGCATCTTCTCATTCTTTGAGCTAAATACCAGACAAGGCCTAATACCCATTAAGACATTTTGCTTCATAACTTGGAGACCAAACACTTCAGACACAGGGGACAAGGCTATTTGGGAGTGGTAGTGGTTTGGTGTTTATGTTGTGAAATAAAGAACTGTCTGAAATCAGTATGAGTTCCCACAAGGTCTCTCAAAATTAGTCTTCAGGAAGACTCAAACATAAATCTTGAAATGACCCTGCTAGTGAGTTTGTTCAAAATGCTTCTTTCTAGAACCTAATTTCATCTGATGGTGCCCTCTTGTGGCACCAGAAATCCTACATTTGAATTACTGAAGATCACTATATTCTGGCCAAAGGAATTTTTTTTTTGGGGGGGGGGGGTGTTGGGGGATCTTTCTTTCTTGTCTTTTTTTTTAGAATTATTTATTTGTTCATTTATTTTAATTTGACCAGAAAGAGACACAGAGCAAGAGAGGGAAAGTGAGAAAGGAAGTCACCAGGTCCAGGACCCAAACTAGTTGGCCATGTGAGAGTGTCCAGTGTCTTAACTACCACATCACCTGCTGGGCCCGTCTTTCTTTTTATTTTTTATTTGAGCACTTACTAGGAGCAAGCGATATGCTATAGCAGGTTTACACTGTTGTTTTTTTATTGTAACCTTATGATTTACATATAATTCTTACACCTTACTCATCTTTGTAGGGTACAGATGGCATTTATAAGCATGTATACAGTGTATAATAAACAAATTGAGGATGTAAACATATTCACCACCTTTAACATTTAACATTATATTATGTTGTGAATATTCAAAACCCATTTTACTGGTTATTCTAGAAGAATGTACTGAATTGTCTGTGATGTTCTTCACATGCCTTACTATGAAATAAAAATCTAAAGAAAAAACAAATTGATTAAAAGCTAGACAACAAAAGTTCTCATAAATTAATGATGATAGATTTTTTTTGAGAGGTTTTTGCCAGGAAGAGAGCGACAGAGAGACAGAAAGTGAGAAATCACCCCCAAGGGGGAACAGCCATGCCACAATCCCTTCTCCTCCATTCTCCTCCTGGAATCTTGGGCACACGTGCACATGCGCCCAGCGTGAGTTTAAACCACCAGGTCTGGGACTCGTACCGCGGTCAACTACATGGGAGTCCAGTAACATAGCCATTATGCCAACTGCTGGTTCCCGATGATGGATTTTTTTAAAAACAAAGATAATCCTAACATAGCCAATGGAAGAGGTATTCGTAATTTCCATGTAGAGGATTGTGGGAGATAGGAGTTGAAAAGATCTATGGTATCTTTGGTCCAGTTAGAGACAGGTAAAATTATACATAACAATAGCTCATTAGGAAGAGATAGAAAAGGAAAACTTTTACTCACTGTGAGTCTTATAAGATCATAGTACTGGACTGTGCATAAAGAAATAAGTCCTTGGAGCCAGCAGATAGCATAGCAGTTACATTACTGGACTCCCACATGGCCAACTATGGTTCACATTCTCAACCCAGTGGCTTGAAAATCATGCTGGGCACATGTGTGCATGTGCCCAAGATCACAGGGGGAGAATGGAGGAGAATGGATTGTGGCGTGGCCATTCCCCACAGAGGGTGATTTCTTGCTTTCATTCTCTCTATCTCTCAGGCAAGCGTATGCGCCCTATAGCAAAAATCTCTTTTGAAAAAAAGAACATCTCCTATGTTCCAAGTATTGGACCAAGGATGAATACAACATGGTCCTACTCCAGGAGCTTACAGACTAGCAGGGGAGAAGAGCATGGAAATACTGCCTTTAAATATAATTGGTCAAAGCTTAAAATTGAGGGGTAATGAGAGCAAAAAGAAGACCCTTCCTGGGGATTCAAAGAGGACTTTTAGAGTTAATGGTACCTGAAATGCCAAAAGCCAGGAAAGAAAGGCAGGAAATAACTTCTAGGCAGAGGGAGCAGGAAGATAGATAAGGTGTCAAACAACGTGAACATATGTGTGGGAGAAGTCAAGTAACTCTAAACAATTGGGGTGTGAGGGCCATGGGAGCACTGGTGACAACAAGGCATGCTGTAGGGATGGACTGGAACCAAGCCACAAAGGATTGGCCAATCTTAGGAGCTTGGACTTTACCCTAAAGGCAATAGAGAACCACAGAGAGCTTTACCTGGAGGCAAATGGTAACACTGGCTATTTGAATAGTCTGGCTACTATGTAGAGACTCTACTACATAGAAGTTGATGGTGTCAGTATAATTACATTATTATGAAATATATATATATATATATATTTGGTATATATATATATATATACCAAAGATAGTGAAAACTTGAACTAAGTCAGTGAATCTAAGTTTAAACGGTGGGGAGGAATCAACAAATACATAAAGGGGGTCATTAGGCTGAATGGAAGTGAAAGTTAAGGAAGAAAATAAGGCAGTGATGCCCTCAGATGTCAATGTGTGATAGTGCGACCCTGTACTCACTATATTCTTGATTAGAACTTAAAATCAGGATCCCAAGACATATGCCCCTTGGGAATTAACCACAGAACAGTCTGTTTTATAGCTCATTCCCTCAAAACTATTCAGCATGCACATCTGTAATTGTCTGGCCCTGGAGTTGACAGGAAAATGAGAGTTTCTTGGGCTCTTTCTCAGTGAATTGAGTTATTGTGCTGTGAGAACCACAGAACAGAGGCTAAGATTGGGCAGGTAGTTTTGGCCTCTGGAAGGATGGAAATGTCAGATTTTAGCATGTAAAAAAGATAACGACATATTGGAGTAGAATTAAAAGTTAGCAGATCAATTGGGACTAAAGTTGAAGGCTATACTCATATTGATTTAAGGCAGGGAATCACATTTTCCTTGGTGCAATATTGCATATGGTTATGACTAAGTTATATCACTACAGGAGGAAGACAAGAAGCTCCATCTAGAGAACCAAAAGTGGTAAGAAACCAAGAACGACCAATGGAAGTCATGAAGCACAAGCAAAAACAAAGATGTAAAACACTCATCCACACGTTCCCATGTGATGCTGATAATGTGGGTCCCAGGACCACACCTTGAGAACCACTGTGTCATACATATGTTCACCCACTCACCCTCAACTACTGCAAAAATCAACTTCAGGTGCTGAGATTTTAGTGAAGGTTCTTTTTCAGCCTCCCATGTGAGATCTTTCCCCTCAAATCAGTTGACTCAGATATTCTGGTTGAACATTACAAGATGAAGGAGATGAATGAAAAGTTTAAATTATCATCCAATTTTCATTTCTGAAAAGGCAGGAAAGTGTTATGTTGCGATCTCTCGGGTTTTGGAATGCTCTGAAGTCCCATTACAAGTCACAAGGCAACTGCAACCCATCACTAAGTTAGCTCTGTGCTATCAAAGAGTGAATTCTACCTGCTCCTAAGCAGCAATTCCAAGGACTTTGAAGGAAAAGGGTGGAACAACCAGGACTCTTATTTTCATGTATACATGTTCATTAAAGTTTGGTATGGAACTCTTTTCACATGGTATTTAGTACAAAGAAGAGTAGCTTTATGATCCCAGCTTCCCAGTTTAGAAATCTTGGAAAGCTCTAGCACTAATGTAAATAGTCTCTCTCTTTACCTTATATCATTGGACCTTGTCCACGTGGATCCTTTCCCAGACCCTGGTTGATGAGCACATTCTCCTATCACATTGCCTAGGGAACATCCTTTAAGAATTCTGGACTGGTAACTGGAAGTCTTGGTGTCCTTAGTTCAATCTTCCAAGTGAGTCTCCTATCAAGCCTTCAGTCTTGAATTTCTGAAGAACAGAAGCCATGGCAGAATAATCTTTGGGAACACCAAATGAGGCAGCCAAACTCTTTGGATTATAAAACTATAACATTTGAAAGGATTTTACTGAAGTGAATGCTGGGAATGAAAGATAAGCTAAATCCCAGGTAATTAATTCTATTTACTTATCAAAATGTTTTATCTGTATATTACTAATAGGCCTCTTTAAGAGTTTCTTTGGGATTGCTATAAGTAATGCTCTGAATTTGGCCTGCACTGATTTGATGTTTACAGGTAGATGTACAATATACAAATGTATGTATTTCTCAATAAGTGTCGTAAAAACGCTGAAAAGAGATCAGTGTGGAAGGAAGGAAAGAAAAAAAGGAAAAAGGGAGGAGGGAGATTGTATTGCTGAATGAATAATGAAAAAGGGCCTATCAGTGGCCCTCTAACATTACAAGAAGTCCAAGTCATGATCACCTGAGGCCTTCAAAACACGGATTTCTGGGCCCACACCCAGGGTTTCTGAATCAGTAGGTCTGGGATGAAGTTAAAGAATTTATGTTCTAACAAGTTCCCATGTGATGCTGATGATGTAGGCCCAGGACCACACCTTGAGAACCACTGTATCATACCTTTGTACACCCACTCACTCTCAACTACTGCAAAAATCAACTTCCAGTGCTGAGACATTAGTGAAGGTTCTTTTTCAGCCTCCCACGTGAGATCTTTCCCCTCAAATCAGTTGACTCAGATATTCTGGTCGAACAACACAAGATGAAGGAGATGAATGAAAAGTTTAAATTATCATCCAATTTTCATTTCTGAAAAGGCAGGAAAATGTTATGAAAAGTAATGGGCAGTTTTCATCAGGAGTCCAGATTCAGACTGAAGAGCAATTTTCTGTCTTTTCTGTGACCAACTAAGTATAAAACAGATTCTCTTGTCCATACTCTTGTCAGACCCCTCAAGTATGTGTTTGTCGGGTAAACTCAAGTTCAGAACAATCTAAGATCTGGGGAAAAAAATTTTAACGTTACTTGAGTAAAATTGAATTGAATTACCAATACTCATTTTGGGGAAAGGGAGCTCTATAAGACAAAAAAAAATTTAATGATAATACTAAGATATTATGTACTCTTTTCACTCTCCTCCAACAAGTGTATGGTGGCATTTTCTAGAAGCTATGTGACTTATGATTATGTCACCACTCTGTTGTCAATGTATGATGAATTTATTATTGTTCATAAAAGGATGAATAAATAATATTTTTAAAAATTCTTTATTTAAATTTCTAATTGCTCACTTACACAGAGAGCTAAGTTTGCTAGATCTACATAAACAAAAGTACTCTGTGATCCTCAATAGTTTTAAATGGTTTCAGTAGTTTTTAATGATGTAAAAAGGTCCTGAAAAATGGTCAGCCATCACATGCACATCACTGGTTACTTCAGAAATGCAAATCTTAACCATAATGAGCTATCACTTCATACACACTAAGAAAATTTCAAGCAAAAATGGGGGCGGGAACCTTATATATTGCTGATGTGAATGTAAAATGGTACACTCACTATGGAAAACAGATTGGTAGCTCCTTAAAATGTAGAGTCAGGGGAACCAGCAGTTAGCGTAATGGCTATGTCGCTGGACTCCCACGTAGTCGACCACGGTTCGTGTCCCGGACCCGGTGGCTTAAAACTCATGCCGGGCGCGTGTGCGTGCGTGCCCAAGATCCCGAGAGGAGAATGGAGGAGAAGGGATTGCGGCGTGACCATCCCCCCTGGGG